CAAAGATTTTTCCTCACAATACAATTATGCAATTTATTATTGTTATTATAATCATCATTACTAATGTTTTCATCATTACTATTGTTATTTATACGATTATCATTATTATTATTACTATTGATATTATGATTAGAAAATACTAGATTAATTTTCCTTTTTACCTTCCAGGCTTCAGTCTCTGCAAGCCGACCGGAGCCCCAGATTGTATTGCTCGGTCAAAGATGGTGTTCCCACGTGATCCTGCTGTTAAGTCTTTGACTTTCAACCTGCACGAGACAGAAACAAATGTGTTACGACGTGGTGGAATGTGTGCTCATCAATTTTTTGACATAATGTTATTAATATAATCTTCAAGTTAGTTTATTTGTCTTTCTTTTAATAAAAAATAGAACCAGTTCTCATTGAATAAAAGTCGAGACATTTGCAACTGACATAGGTGGGGATCACCTGGTGACAGAAGTAAAATTAGTGAGAAAATGGCCGCCAAAATGTGGTGACTACTAAAGTTTGAGAGTCCTTGGACACTGCAAATTTGTATTTTTTTTTCGCCTTTTATCAACGTTTAACAATAGGCCTATAATCCACACAGGAATGTGCATTTCTTTGAAGTCTTTATTTTAATGAGTGCCCGATTTCATCACGCTGCTTCACAAATGGGATGAGAACAAATAAAATTTACCCAGGAGAACCCAATGGTGAAATTAGAAAGAGCTTGAAGACACAGAATAGTGACTACTATAAATTAGAAGCAATTAAAATAAATCAGCATTAAGTTTTCACTTGATATTCAAATTGTACTGTAGCCTGTGCTACAGCTTGAGCCTGCTGCAATCCATTGTGGTGTTTGAATACACCATATACATATTATTTTCTAGATTGGCTGTCTCAGATAAGATATTGGTAAATCATTTCCAGCTTTCATTTACCAGCTAATACTGAACTAAACCTGGTCAAATTATACAAAAACAGATGGACTTATCTTTTTGTCTTAACTCTCCATCTACTTGGGTTAGTTATTTCACAGACAGACGATAAAACGTAAGCACTGTTTCTTACATAACCTTACCGTGTTGACAAGGGCTTCAGAATCACATTAGACTGTTCCTTACCTGTATGACCTAAAGTAGTTAGGTCTGGGAGCCAATGCTGAGAAATCTATCTTTGCAGATTCTTCTCTGATCTCAATGACGTTTAAGTTAAGCACTGGCTGCTGATTGGCTGTGGAAAGAAAACCTTTACAATCAGGCAAGACGTCAACTAAGAGAACAATTTTCAAAGAAAAAAACCCTAATATCGCATAATTACATAATTGTTACTGCTCTGGAAGATATGGAAAGACTATTCAAGCCCTCTCTCCTCTTTTTTCTTCACCTTCAAAGCCCGAGTAAAGTTGCAATTTATAAGCCCGCACTATACAAGCCACATTTTTACAGAAAGGAGCACAGGAGAAGACTCTTACTAACAAAAAACAGGAAACAGAGAGAAAAAACCTCGACACATACGGATAATCAGACAAAACACACATACATACACACAAACAAACACACACACACAGTCACACACACACCAATTTAGGGAGGCAGATCAAAGATACTTTCTTGAAGTTTGACGTCGTGCTGTGGATTATGAACTCAAAATGTAATCAGGGATTCTTTGGTTTGACTCCAATAGAATAAAATGCACTATCAAGATATTATAATGTACTGAAAGGGGATGAGGAATAGAGCCAACGATATAAAATAAGTTTAAACCCTTTCTTTTAAAACAAATAGGGTAATTTACAGGGAGGAATTTGAATTAAAAAGTTCGTCACCCAGCAGGATTAAACCAAACAAGAGTGGAGTAGGACCATGCTGATTCTAGTAAAAAATCTTAGTCCAAAGACACATCACAGGAAATTTAAACCACCTTCCCCTACGTCATATAACAGAATAAAGTCAGCTGATCTAGTTTATGTCAACATATTATTATATTACTAAAACACAAAGCCATATTAGTTGACAGACTGTGGTCTATTTGGTTGTTTAATTTGCATTTCATGTTCAAGTAACAACACAGACAAGACTGACTGATGGTATTCCTAATGAGCCTGAGAAAAATAGTCCCCAAGAACATTTAGCCAACACGGGATGCAACTAATATTTGTGAGATGCTACCCTTGCATCACAACCTTTCTGCAGTTTGGGAATGATCTTTTCTCCTTATACCCAGTGAACTCTAGGAAAATCTCCACTCATTGCACGACTGTGAAGTATGATCTCACTTGACAGTGAAAAGAGATAAATGGACGAAAATTGCCTCATTTCATACTCCCAGCCGAGTGTCCAGTTGATTTTTTCCTAGTGTGCACAGAGCTTTACTATACTTTCAATCCATATTCCTTTCTTGTGGATCTGTTATTTGAAGAAAATGTATCCCCCCCCTCCCTCCGCCCCCTGTAACCTCAGGTAGTAGGACACTCATCAAAATGACTTTTGTGTTGGCTGTCTGTTGTTGTCAGTGTGTACATTCATTGGACTACCATTCCCTCTGCAGTAGAATGTGGAGTGATAGAAGTGGCAGCATGCCACTTGGGGGGAGGGAGGGGGGGGCTGTGCTCATTGCCTCCAATCAGGGTGGCAAAACAATGGCCCATGATGACTTCTTTATGGGCTGGAAAGCCTCAATATTTTTGATTTTCAGTCATTGCCTGCATACAGTCTAGAAAGGAACATAAACTCTATGCGTGTGTCTATGTCAAATTTGAAGAATAAATTACAGTTCCAGAATACTGTGTTTTATTTGGTAAGAGTTTCATGGCTCTTGTAACTGCATTATGTCCTATAAATGTACAGGACACAAGTTGATTGTTTTTGTACAAGTTCAAATCATGGCTTGGACTTATTTTTTTTGTTTAATGAAAACTTTATGGTATAAATTCAAAAGAAAAAGCAGAAATCGTGTAAATACTAATGGTCTTGATAAAATTGAGCATCCTGCTGGGATCAACAATGGAGAACAAATTCTTCAAGTTAGTACATTTATTTCCTTCAGGTCTTTCCAAAGTCCAGACATTGTAGCCTACTAGGATGTGCCTGATAGTAAAAATCAGCATCACATCCTTTACAAAATGTTTTTACATCTCCCGGAAGGAGATATCTTTGCATCAGGAAGGTATGTCCAATGCACAGTCTGTTTAAAATAGCTTCATCTCTTATGGAGAAACCCAAAGGTTTTTGTTGGTCTGACTTGGGCATAATATTGTGTTTGATTTCTTTTAACACAATGAACAAACCCACACAAGGACACCACAATGACTTCATTGCTTCTTAGAAAACCTTAACCGCATGTACCAAAACCAAAACAAAAGAAAAAACTTCACCTACAAAACTTAAGACAAACAAAACAAACAGAACAGAGAGAAGAAGAAAATACTCACGGTTTGGTCCATCAGAGGCCTGTGTCATAATGTTAATAGTGGAGTTGTCAGCCACTTCATTATTGCCAATCTTCATCAGAAGGTTAAGTATATACCTGACAGCGCAAGAGAAAATCAAATGAAACAAAGCATTGTGTTAGGTAACTTGACATAAAAGATAAAGAGGATATTCACTGAAGGTTTACAATTATTCAATAGCTCTTAAGTCACATGAACCAATAGGTCACAAGATCTATTAAAAGAAACATATGTGCTATATTCCCAATTTTGTGAGTTAAAGAACTAAAATGCTTCAAGTAACAGGACAAGGATTTTATTATGATTTCTCTCTTCTCTCTCTTTCCCTCTCTCTGTCTCTTCCTCTGTGTCTCTCTGTATCTCTCTCTGTGTCTCTCTCTGTGTCTCTCAGTCTCTATCTCTGTCTCTCTCCCTCCCCCCCTCTTTTATCTATCTCACACACACTAATATATGTATATATACTGACACACCACACAAACTCAACCACAGATACACACATCCACTTTGTCTCTCTCTCTCTCTCTCTTTTCTCTCTCTCTCTCTCTTTCTCTCTCTCTCTCTCTCTCTCTCTCTCT